AGCTAGCTTTAATTACTTTATATCAGCCTCTCTACCCTAAAAACAGACTACTCCTTTGTAACTGGGCTTCTGAATATTCACAAAGATCGACTATATGTTAAATCATTTTTTTAAAAAACCAATATATTCCAGGGCGCCTGGGTGGCTAAGTCGGTTAAGCGACTGCCTTTGGCTCAGGTCATGATCCTGGAGTCCCGGGATCGAGTTCTGCATCGGGCTCCCTGCTTGGCGGGGAGTCTGCTTCTCTCTCTGACCCTCCCCCATCTCATGCTCTCTCTCTCAAATAAATAAATAAAATCTAAAAAACAAAACAAAACAAAACAAAACACCCAATATATTCCAAAAAGTAGATCTAGAACAGATATTCTCCAATCACAATGTAAATCAGAGCAGAAATTAATAACCAAACTACAAGGCGAAACAAAACCAAAAAAAAAAAAAACCTTACTACCTGTAAATTTTAAAACTCTTAAGTTGCTCTGCAGTAAGAAAGGAAATCAAGTTGAAATTTCAGGATATCTAGAAAACAACCATAACTGAAACACTGCATATCAGCATCTAAGGTAAACAGCTAAAGCAGTACTTCAGAGACAAATTCATAGTTTTCAATACTTACATTAACAAGAATGAATGAAAATTAATGAACTAAGTACCTAATTCAAGATAGAAAACACACACACACAAGAAACAGGATGGAAATAATAAAGATAAAAGTGTAAAAATATGATTTAGAAAAGAAAAACAACAGTAGAAATAATCCAAATAAAATAAATCCAGTAGAAACAATTTTTAAAAATTTTTAAGTAGCTGGGGCCCCTGGGCAGCTCAATCCGTTAAGCCTCTGCCTTCAGCTCAGGTCATGATCCAGCCCCAGTCTGCTTCTCCCTCTCCCTCGGCCCCTCCCCACTGCTGGTGCTCTTCTCTCTGTCTCTCTCATAAATAAATAAAATCTTAAAAAAAATTTTTTTAAATAGTAAGTCAGTAGTTGATCTAGTCAAAAAAAGAAAGGAATAAGGGGTGCCTGGCTGGCTCAGTCGGTGGAGTGGGGCTCTCGATCTCAGGGTTGTGAGTTCCAGCCCCACGCTGGGTGTAGAGATTACTTAAAAGTAAAAAGAAAGAAAGAAAAGGAATAAAATCCAAACACACTAAAGAAAAGGATAAGGAGGTACACTTTTCATTGCACCACCTTTGGTGCCTTTGGAGCTGACCTTCTAGAGGGGAAGAGGCCAGAGCAAGACAAAGCACTAAGGTCCCAGGGGCGCCCGGGTGGCTCAGTTGATGAAGCACCTGCCTTCGGCTCGGGTCGTGATCCCAGGGTCCTGGGACCGAGCCCCGCATCGGGCTCCCTGCTCTGCGGGAGGCCTGCTTCTCTCTCTCCCACTCTCCCTGCTTGTGTTCCCTCTCTCGCTGTGTCTCTCTCTGTCAAATAAATAAATAAAATCTTTTTTTTTTTTTAAAGATTTTATTTATTTATTTGAGACCGAGAGAATGAGAGGGAGGAGGGTCAGAGGGAGAAGCAGACTCCCCGCCGAGCAGGGAGCCCGATGCGGGACTCGATCCCGGGACTCCAGGATCATGACCTGAGCCGAAGGCAGTCGCTCAACCAACTGAGCCACCCAGGCGCCCTAAATAAATAAAATCTTAAAAAAAATAAAAAAAAAAAGCACTGAGGTCCCATTTCACGTGCCCTGCTTTGGCAAAGCCCTGGGGCCACGCGGGCGAGAGGCCTCCGCAGCAGCATCTGCTGCCCTCTAGGAGAGTCCGTTTTCCAGAAGATCGCTCCGTGCCCGTCCCAGAGCGTTTCCTTACTCCTGATGCTAAGTTGCATGCCGTTTCCCCGGCTTGAACACCGGGGGCTAGGGGTGCGCCCCTGGACGCCTTCTAAGCAGGATCTCCCTTCCCCCCACCCCCCGACCGTCTGAAGGGTCCAGGCCACTCGGTCGGTCCCCATCTGGACCCAGCGGATGGGGGTCCGGAGAGGCCAGGGGGCGCTTGCCTGTCTCCCAGCCTCCGCACTTCACGAGGAAGGTTCGGCATTGGCGGGGGCCTCCCCACCTGCATCTCCCAACAGTCAGCGGAAGGCAGGTGTTGAGAGGTGGTCCTGGCCAACCTCCGCCCTTGACCTCGCCTTGACGGACCCCCGACGAGCTTGGGGCCCCGTCTTTGCGGGGGAGGCGGGCTTGCCCAGGCCGTGCCCTCTGGGAGGAACATCCCCAAATAACGATACTTCCAGGCCGGGAGATCGGGAATGCCAGGGAGTCCGCCGCCGGACTGCAGGGAAGGCTTCCCGGAGGAGGCGGCCTGCAGGTCGGGACCTCACAAAGGGGGAGGGGCGTTGTGGGGGAGAAGGAGAAGGCACTGTAACTGCAACGGCCCCCTCCAACGACCCTCAGCGGCCAGGAGCTGAGGCTCGGCAGGGCGAGGTAGGACGGCGACAAGGTTCCAGGCCGCGCAAGAAACGACGACGGCCCGGGGACGCCGGACGCGGGGCGGCCTCGGAGAACACGTCACAGGAAGTTCGTAGGAACTGGTCATCTGGCCAAGTGGACGTCCCGGGAATTGCTAATCGCCGACGTGCCTTGGGGCCGGAATTCGTGCTTCCGGGCCGCCGGACCCGCCTGTGCCGCCCCCTGCCGGTGCTTCTGTCCGCGGCTAGCGGCACAGTCCCGGCCGGGGCCGGGGCGGGCGGGGCTCCGGATCCCAGCGCGGCGATTGGCCGCTCCGCATCAGGTGTCCCCGCCCCGGCCAACCAGCGAGGGAGGCGGAGCCTCGCCGCCGGGCTGTGGGCGGGGTGGCAGGGTTGACGGCTCCGCCCAGAGCGGTGGGGCGCTGGGGAGAGCGACCTGTGTCTGCTCCCGGCCTCGCGGGACCCCAGGCCCCAGCGCCTTGGAGCGCCGCTCCCGCCTCCCTTCCCCACCCAGCGGCCGGAGCCAAGTTTTCAAACCCCGAAGCGGCTTTCTGGGGATAAAGACACAAATCCTTGCCAGGGCCCAGGCCCTTCGGATCTCAGCCCTGAGGTCTCCGGGTCCCTCCTGTGGCCTCGAATTTCCCGCCAGCTCCTCTGCTCCAGCTACCCTGGCCTTCTGCCACCAGCTGCCTCCAGCCCCAGGCCTACACCCGGGCCTGTGTCCTCTGCTTGGCCTGCCCTTCCCCCCACTCCTCCTCCCCCTTCTCCTGGCTTGCTCTGGCTGATCTTTCCAGAGCCTGCTGGCATGCGGTTAAGGTTCCACTGGGGGCTGGTGCAGACCCTGGGCATCTTCCTTTTTCCCTGCAGGGACCGCCTTGCCCCGGGCTGCTGGCCTGCTTGTATACAGCCCATGATCTTTCATCTCTCTATCTCCCCACCCCAAGCAGACAGCCTGGTACATGGTAGGCACTTAGCCCCTGTGCAGATATGAACCAAGGAAGAGAGATGATGGCTAAGGAACTAACACCCCTGGGCATCACCTGAGTACCAGACCCCGTGCCAGGCACGTCACAGGGCTGACTACAGTTATGTGATGGCCCTGGAAGTGAGGAACTGGGGTCCCCTCTTCCTGGCGAGTCAGGGAAGGCCAAGAGGCTGGATGGCTGGCCCAGGTTTCCTCAGCTGCACTGGTTGGGGGCAGGACTGGCGGGCTGGGGACACCCCCATGCCAGGCAGCCTGGGCCTTGGGTGTCTGCTGGAGAAAACTGATGGGCAGGCCCCCCCCAAGGGAGGGTCAGGGCCTGGGGCAGATTGGAAAGGGAAGGGGACTTGGGGAGGTAAGTGCTGTGTGCGTTCAGCCCAGCCACAAGCCTCCTCTACTGTCCAATGACTGGATGGCCACCTTGAAAATCCTTCAAAGCCCTTGCTGCCCCCCTCAACCCCATCTCATCAACTGCTACCCCAACCCCTTCTCCAGCTACACTGACCCATGTCAGCTCCCAGACCAAGGCCCCTGGGCCTTTGCACATGCTACTCCCTCCTGGGTCCACCTAGTCCTGCCCCCATCACGTCGTCAGGACCTGTGCCTACTTTCCAGACCAAATCTTGCTCAGCACCGGCCCCACCACAGTCCTGAAGACAAACAAATGCTGAGATCTGAATTCAAACTCAGCCCTTCTGCTTGACACACGTGTGGCTGCCAGCAGAGAACAGCTTATCAGTGGGCTTGCAAAACAGGGCCGTCTACTTAGGGAGCACTCTGCTGATTTGCTGGCGTGGAGCTGGGGCTTTGGTGGACATTGAATCTCCAGGACACAGCCTGCAAGGTCAGACATGCAAAAAGGGCCTTTTGGTTTCCAAGAGGCTTGTTGACATGAACGCCTCTCACTTCAGCAACATCCGAGAGTGAAAATACTCTGCTTCCTCAGAGGCTAGTCCCTCTTCGCAGACTGCCTACCACCCACGCCCCACATCAGGCCAGTGGGCCTTCAGGGTCCACCCGAATCTCGAGCCTGAACTCGGGACAGGCTCAGCTCTGAATCCTGTGTGACATTGGGCTAGTTACTTCGCCCCTCTGATCCTCCGTCTTCTTCCTCTAGCTTTCATTTCCAATAAAATTAGTAACAGGTACATGTCTTTAAAGGACCAATAGAACTACAAGGCTTATAATGACAAGCGGCAGTCCTCTGCCCCACTCCGCACAGCCCGAGTCCTCCCTCCGAAGCACCCATTTGTGCTCTACTAGATGTTTTTTTTCTGGCTCTCATCTTTACACGTGTGACAGGCTTCTGCTGACAGTTGCTGATTTTCTGCCTTTAGATACAATCCAATGACTGCCTGCAGCTGAAAGATGAGGATTTAGCTCTGTTAATCTGCTGTCTCTTTAGATTTGCTAATTCTGGACGTTTCGTATAAATGGAATCACATATGGGGTACCTGGGTGGCTCAGTCATTGAGCAGCTGCCTTCAGCTCAGGTCATGATCCCAGGGTCCTGGGATCGAGCCCCACATCGGGCTCCCTGCTCGGCGGGAAGCCTGATTCTCCTTCTCCCACTCCCCCTGCTTGTGTTCCCTCTCTCCCTGTCTCTCTCTCTATCAAATAAATAATTTAAAAAAAAAGAGATCCACTCAATCAACCACGCATTCCCTCTCTGCCCCTCACCCCACCCACTTCTCTCCTAGCTCCTCCTACACAACCATATTACCCAGGGCAGGGGTTCTCACCCCAGGGTCCTCAGGGCGAACCCTGGGGAGGGGGGGCCGGGGGATGGGAGTTTGGGGTTTCGGAAACTGGACAGAAAACACTGACATCCTCATTTTCACCCACCTCTAATGTTTGCTTTCCCATCAGGAACAGGGGCCATAAACCTCAGCGATGTCAACTGCACCTGTGACTTTGCCACCAACAGAAATCCAGATAATTTCAAATCATACTGCAACTGAAGCCGAAATCTCTAAATTAATCTCATTTACACTCACCACTACTTCAAAATGATAAATTGTAGACTTGCAGCTTTGGTCCTATTATTTAATGCATTAATAAATACACTACTACACCACACATGTATTTAAGAATTTTATGAACTGCTTTTCTTTTCTTTTTTTTTTTAAAGATTTTATTTATTTATTTGACAGAGAGAGTTAGTGAGAGCAGGAACACAAGCAGGGGAGTGGGAAAGGGAGAAGCAGACTTCCCGCCGAGCAGGGAGCCCGATGCGGGTTTCGATCTCAGGACCCTGGGATCATGACCCGAACTGAAGGCAGACGCTTAACGACTGAGCATCCTGGGTGCCCCAAGATTTTATTTATTTGACAGAGAGAGAGAGTGAGTGAGCACAAGCAGAGGGAGCAGCAGAGGAAGAGGCAGAAGCAGGCTCCCCACTGAGCAGGGAGCCTGATGCGGGGCTCAATCCCAGGACCCTGGGATCAGGACCTGAGCCTAAGGCAGACGCTTAACCAACTGAGCCACCCAGGTGCCCCAAATTGTTTTCTATGTAATTGCTTTCCTCTATTTATTCATTAAAAAATATTGTTTTGGGGGGCACCTGGCTGGCTCAGTTGCAAGAGTGTGTAACTCTTGATCTCGGGGTTGTGAATTCGAGCCCCACATTGGGGGTAAAGATGACTAAAATAAAAATTAAATTTTATTTATTTATTTATTTATTTTTTAAAAGATTTTATTTATTTATTTGAGACAAAGAGAATGAGAGACAGAGAGCATGAGAGGGAGGAGAGTCAGAGGGAGAAGCAGACTCCCCGCCGAGCAGGGAGCCCGATGCGGGACTTGATCCCGGGACTCCAGGATCATGACCTGAGCCAAAGGCAGTCGCTTAACCAACTGAGCCACCCAGGCGCCCAAAAAATAAATTTAAAAACCCGAGTGCAAGACTGTTGAATCTCAGATCTGTACCTCTGAAACAAATAATGCAATATATGTTAAGAAAAGAAAAAAAGAAGAAGATAGCAGGAGGGGAAGAATGAAGGGGGGGAAATCGGAGGGGTAGACGAAACATGACAGACGATGGACTCTGAAAAACAAACTGAGGGTTCTAGAGGGGAGGGGGGTGGGAGGATGGGTTAGCCTGGTGGTGGGTATTGAGGAGGGCACGTTCTGCATGGAGCACTGGGTGTTATGCACAAACAATGAATCATGGATCACTACATCTAAAACTAATGATGTAATGTATGGGGATTAACATAACAATAAAAAAATTTTAAAAAAAAGAATGTAATTCTATGAAATAGAATAAAGAGTAGAAACGGTAATGTCATTTGAAAAAAAAATTAAAAAACCCGAATAAAAATAAAAATATTGTTTTGAGGAGTCCATACTCTTCTCCAGGCGGCCATGGCATGCAAAGGTCAAAGGTGTCTCGTCTAGAGAGAGGACAATCACTCCGGTGGGGTGGGAACTGGCACGCAGGGCAGGCCTACACTGCCAGGGACAGGACAATCTAAGGACTGGCCACCCAGCCCACAGAGCACAGAAACCCGGCCAGGCCTGGCAGGGCGGGAGGTCACCAGGAACACCTCTCCCCCAGGTCATCCAGCACTACCCCAAACCTTCAATCATGAGGATACAGCCATGGTGTACCAGGTTCTGAGCACATCCTTGGAGGCCAGGCGGGAAAGGGGGTAGAGGTCCGCAGATGTCCCACCAAGCACCCGCATGGCCCCAGCCCCTCTCCCCCGTCTGCCCAAAGCCGCAGAGCTCCAGGTTCTACACATGCCAGGTGGAGTCCCAAGGGGCACTGTCCCCTTAACAGAGAGGGGTCGTTCAGGCCCGCAGCAGTGTGACTGAATCCCAGCGTTGTTACAAACGTGGAGACTGAGGCCCAGAGAGGTCAAGTGACTAGTCTGAGGTCACACAGCCAGATGACGGTAGGGCCACAGGAACCCAGGCCTCTGGACTCCCCAGCGGGGTCTGTCCCCACCATAGCCTGCGAAGGCAATGGGTAGAACAGGTCTGGGGTGATGCCAAGGGATGCACAGAATGCATATTTCCATGTTCTCAAGGTAAGATGCATGCAGTAAGAGAAGTGAAAATTTGGGGCCTCTGAGCAGGGACACACAGCTCTACCCATTATATTTTTTTAAAGGTGGGGTGTGGAGTAAGGTCAGGGGCTCAGAGCCAGGCTGCCTGAGTAAAAATCCAGACCTGGTCATTCCTGTGACCTGTGGCCTGCATGCTCCGTGCCTCAGTTTGCTCATCTGTAAAACAAGCTAGTACCTACCTATTCAGGAAAACTATTCTAAGCATTTTTTAAAGCTGGGAAATGCTCTAACACATTAACAGTGGGATTCTAGGTGATTTAATTTTGTGGGGTTTTTTTTGTGTGTGTTCACCTGTATAGTACCAGCTGTTTTGTCTCCCACTCACTGGACAATTCCGGACTGGCTGGAACTCGTCTATCTTAGGCACCGAGGATGGTGCCCAGTGCCCTGGACGTATCTGTTGACCGAGCGAACAATCAGGAACACCCACTTCAGTAGAGAATATTTCTATTCAAAGTGGTTCTGATAAGAGGCAGACATAGAGAGCCACAGGGGAAAGGGGACCCGGAGCTAAAGGGAAGGGGGATCCATTCAGCGGTAGAAGGGTCTGGGGGCAGGGGAGGCACAGCCTTTTGTAGCGATCTGCAGGGACAGAAGCCCCGACAAGGAAGCCCAGGGGTGCCACAAGCTCCGTGGGGTACAGCAGCAGGGGGTGGGCAGGTGGTGCGGCCACCGAGGAGGGCCCAGAGTGTCTTGTTGCTCTTCTGGACTTGGAGACCACTGGGCTCTGGAGCAGGAGAGAGCTTCAGGAAGAGTCCCGAAGGAGGCCAGGGCAGTGACCCTGACGGGGGCACATGGTCCGGTTGGAGCTGGTGTGGTTGGCCAGGATGGGAAGAAAAGGATGTGATTTCTGGAAGGGAAAGCTGGTGGGGAGCTGACCTTCCCACCGAGCAGACTCCAGGCCCAGACGGCCCCCACCCCGGGGTTCTCATATGCTTTTTAAAAAAAGATTTATTGGGGCGCCTGGGTGGCTCAGTTGGTTAAGCGACTGCCTTCGGCTCAGGTCATGATCCCGGAGTCCTGGGATCGAGTCCCGCATCGGGCTCCCTGCTCGGCAGGGAGTCTGCTTCTCCCTCTGACCCTCCCCACTCTCATGTGCTCTCTCTCATTCTCTCTCTCTCAAATAAATAAATAAAATCTTTAAAAAAAAAGATTTATTTATTTATTTGAGAGAGAGAGAAAGAACGCAGTGGGAGGAGCAGAGGGAGAGGGAGAGCCTCAAGCAGATTCCCCACTGAGTATGGAGCACGACACGGGCTCGATCTCACGACCTGAGCTGGAACCAAGAGTCGGATGCTCAACGGACTGAGCCACCCAGGTGCCCTCTCATATGCCTTTAGGCCAAAGAGCTCGGGCCTTAGGTAAACTCAGAACACAGAGAAAGAGGGAACTGCCCAGCTGGTCTGTGAGGCAATCATAACCTTGACACCAAACTCCGATGCAGGAAACGTGAGAAAGCGACGCGCCAGGCCGTCTCCTCCGTGAACACAGATGCAAAAATCCTCCCCGAGTAACAAACCGGACCTGGCCATACATGAAAAGACTCATACAAGCACAGTCACGCTGGCTTTGTCCCAGGAATGCAAGACTGCTTCCGTAAACAGAAAAGTCAGCATCGTCGACTACTTCAGAGAAAAAAGGAGAACTCATACCATCCTCTCTACGGTTGCAGATGAAATTGGAGATCCATTCATGAGAAGAACCCTGCTTAGCACACCAGAAACCGAAGGGACTTCTCGCTCTGATAAGGGGCAGTTACAAACCCCCATCACATCACAGGCCATGCTGGGGCGTTGAATGCTCTCCGGCAAGCATGGACACAACACAAAGGGGCCCATTGTTGCCACTTCCAGAGCGGGTCAAATGGTACTGGAGGCCCTGGACAGTGCACTGAGGCAAAGGGAAAAAAAGATATAAAGATTCGAAAGGAAGAAACAAAACTGGCATTATTTAGAGACGATAGAAAAGTCAAAGGATTAACAGATAAGTTACTAGAACACAAGAGCTTAGCAAGGTTGCTGGGAATAAAAAATCACTATGCAAAAAAACCCTACATCTTGGGGCGCCTGGGTGGCTCAGTCGTTAAGCGTCTGCCTTCGGCTCAGGTCATGATCCCAGGGTCCTGGGATCGAGCCCCGCATTGGGCTCCCTGCTCTGCAGGAAGCCTGCTTCTCCCTCTCCCACTCGCCCTGCTTGTGTTCCCTCTCTCGCTGTGTCTCCCTCTCTGTCAAATAAATAAATAAAATCTTTAAAAAACAAAAAAAACCCCTACATCTTTAAAAAATTCTAGCTACAATTAGAAAATGAAGAACAGCCATTTACAATGACATCAAACATAGGCATTTTTTTTTTAAGATTTTATTTATTTCCTTATTTATAGAGTGCGCACCCCAGTGAGCGGGGTGAGGGAGAGGAAGAGTCTGGAGCAGACTCCCAGCTGAGCCTGGAGCCCACCTCGGGGCTCGATCCCATGACCCCAAGATCATGACCTGAGATGAAACCAAAAGTGATTCACTCAACTGGTTGAGCTGCCCAGTTGCCCCTCAAACATAGGCATCTTAATAAAACATGTCCAAGAGATCTCTTTTTTTTAAGATTTTTAAGATCCCCTGATGTGGGGCTCGATCCCAGGACCCCGAGATCATGACCTGAGCCCAAGGCAGACACTTAACCGAGCCCCCAGGCGCCCCTCTTCTCTGGGATTTAGTTTCCTCCTGTGTGAAATGGTGGGAATGCTACCTAGGCCCTTGGGATGACTGAAAGGCACCTGGCGCCCAGCCAACAGTCCCTGGAAGCCTCTTTGGGGGAAGAAGGAAGGTTGAATCCCCTTCCCTTGCCCTGTGCCTCTGGGGGACGATGCACCTGAGGCTGATGCAGCCAGTGGGGCTCTGGCCAGCTGCCCAGGTGCACTGAAGACGATGCCCCACAGCTCCAAAACCCCACCGTTCCGCTCTCACGCTTCCCCCCAGCTGCCTGCCTTCTGCACCCCAGCGCCGTTCTTCCAGCCACTTCAGCTTGCTAAGCACCTACCTGCAAGCCCCGTCCCAAATGGGCTCCAGCTTGGTCCAGCTGTCAGTACCCAGCAGAGCCCCCTGCCAGCTCTGGCCAGGGCTCACCTGAGCAGGAGTCCACCGCACAGCACCTGCTCACACACCTGTTGGGTCTGGGCTGGACCCGGCTTCAGTGCAACTGCCTGCCCACCCACTGTCACTCACATCTGTTTGGATCACTACCATTTCCTGCATTTCCTGTGCTCTGGCTGGGCACAGGGTGAGACAGGTGGCCCCCGTCCCAGGGCATTCATGAGCTCCTGGGCAGGTTAGTGACCAAGCTCCCCAGTGAAAGCTGTACTCCACGAGGACGGCCTCCATAGCCAGATGACTCCACCCACAGAAGTGGGTTAGATGGAACCCGTGCCCTAGTCCTGCTGAGGAGTGCTCCTTGGTCCGCAGTCTCCCCACCCTGGGTCCTCCGCGTCCTGAGCCCCTGGATGCTATTGCAAGTTAGAGATAAAAGCCCATGAAGAAACTAGCAGAAATGGGCAATGTTGTGATTTGGCGGGGGGCTGGGGGAGAGGCGCTTTTCACAGATACCATAAAATAAGTACTTCAACCCAGAGGGGACCTACCCAAGGACACGGGGAGTTAGTGGCAGAGATAAACGGAACTCAGGTCTCTGACTGTGGGCCAGTGCTGCCCGCCCCCCTGCTTTGCTCTGTGCTTCCACGCGAAGCCCTGGGCGGAGCACCACCAGGCGCAGGGTGGGTGGCCGTTTGCACGGTGTCCCCTGCAGCATCTCCCTCCACAGCCAGGAGATAGGGCAGAACCAGGCTCCAAAGGCCGGGTCCCCAGCCACGCAAGCTCTCCTGGCAGCACAGCACAAGCCCAGGCTGCTCAGCCCGCTCTCTCCTGCGCTTTGTCCCACTGAACTTGCACACTTTTTTTTTTTTTTTTTTGAAGATTTTATTTATTTGACAGAGAGAGAGCACAAGCAGGGGGAGCGGGAGAGGGAGAAGCAGGCTTCCGGCAGAGCAGGGAGCCCGACGCGGGGCTCGATCCCAGGACCCCGGGATCATGACCTGAGCTGAAGGCAGGTGCTTCATCAACTGAGCCACCCAGGCGCCCCATAACTTGCAGTCTTTACCCCAAACTGTGAGGTCTTGAAGCCCGACACAGAACAGATGCCCACGTGGAGGAACTGCCTGGTAGTGGCCCCGAGAAGCCTCCTCCATGCCGTCTGCCCCACTTACCTCCCTCCCCCGCGTGGGCCCAGGCGCTTCCTCACCTCACCTTGATCCTGAGACCATGGCTCCACTCCGGCAATAGCCTTACTTGTTTTACAACTTTTAAGCTGAGGTAGGTTCCAGCCTCGTTTAGTGCCGAGTTCTCTCCTGAGGTCTGTCTAGAAAGCTGCTCTTAGGACAAAGAGCCACACCCATAAAGCTGGTCTTCCTACCGAGTGTCTTGATTCCAGCATGGGTTTGGGTTGTTTGTGGGGTCAGATCCTTGTAAAACCAACCGCAACTTGGCCTGAGGCTGGGGCCTGGCAGACTCCGAGTAACCCCCCGGCATGTGCAAGGAGTACAGGCGGAATTTAAAGTGGAAAGTTCGGGGCGCCTGGGTGGCTCAGTTGGTTAAGCGACTGCCTTCAGCTCAGGTCATGATCCCAGGGTCCTGGGATCGAGTCCCACGTCGGGCTCCCAGCTCGGCGGGGAGCCTGTTTCTCCCTCTGACCCTCTCCCCTCTCATGCTGTTTCTCTCCTGCTCACTCTCTAATAAATAAATAAATAAATAAATAATCTTTAAAAAAAAAATAAATAAAAAAAATAAAGTGGAAAGTTCGCTCTGCCCCCTCCCCGACCCCAAGGGCCGACAGAGTTGGTAATTGGGAAGGCGGAGGCTCGTCGAGGGCCCGGGCCGCCACGCTCAGTCCGGTTCCCAAGGGAGCTCACGGTTTGCGATCGCTGCAGCCAGAGGTGCTGCTCCTGGGGAGGGGGGCCCAGGCGGACGCCAGCTCTTCCTCAGCAAGCCTTGAGTGAGCTCTTTGTAGGGACACCACTAATACGCAATCCCTGCGCTCAAGGGGCGTGCAATCAAACGGGGAGAAACAGTGGGCACCCACACCTGGACCCGGGGAAGGGAGGATGGTCCTTTCGGGCTGCATAACAAAGTACCATAGATGGGGAGGCTTCGGAACAACAGACACTATTTCTTACCGCTCTGGAGGCAGTGAGGAGCGGACGGCCTCAAGGCCTCTCCCCACGCTGTGCCCTCACAGGGTTGAAGGAGTAGAGGCGCTCTCTGGGGTCTCATTCATAAGGGCACTAACCCCACTCCGGAGGGTCCCACCCGCATGACCGCCTCCTCACGCCATCACTTTGGGGATGAGGCTGCCAACACGGGACTCCAGTGGGGACACAGACATTGAGTCCTTAGCAGGCTCTTTGCAGTGGTGGTATTTCCAACGGACAACGGCTAGCACCGGGAGTTAGCTTACAGAACCACCGGCTGGGCTGGAAACATGCACCGGGGACCCAGGAATGGCTGCACCTGCCGAAAGGGGCTCAGGTCAGAAGGTGGGGAAGCAGGAGGCTACCACCAGGGCTGCGGAGCCAAGCCTGTGCAGCAGGGGGGAGGCGGGGCAGGAATCAGAAAGCAGGGCAGAGGCCCTGACTCAAGTGCACCGTGTGGCTGGCCCAGCAATGCCCAGAAAGCCCGTCCCAGGGAAGCCTCGTGCGGACAGGGGCCTCTGCTTTCCCGGAACGCAGACGGCCCTCGGCGCTGGGGAGGGCGCAGAGCCGCTTCCTGCCTTAAGTTCAGCCTGTAATGTGCGCGCTGCCCAGGCCTGCACACTCCAAAGCCTACGCTTAACGTCGGCCTCCCAAATTGGGCAACTGATGGAAGGAACCCGATTGTTGCCCAGAACCCCAGTTACCAGGGAGTGTGAGAGCTGGTCTTTACCTTCCTGGTCTCTGCCTTCCCAGAAGTGGCACGGGCAAGAGGGCTCCCAGCGCGAGGCTGGGAGGAGAGCGGAGTTAAGTGCCCGGGAGACCTGATCCCAAAGGCAGGTGCCTGCTTCCAGTGTGTGCCGGGAGTGGGCAGTGAGGGTGAGCAAGAGGGCCGGAGCTCAGCTTTGCACACACAGACCGCAGAGGCTCTGGGACTCCTTCCCAGGCCTGCATTTCTCAAGGTGGTGGCGAGCTTTTCCTGCACAAGATCATTAATCCATGGGGAGAAAAATCAATGAAAGCCCGTTGACTGAAAAAGATAACCGGGTGGAATTTTTCTAGGGGAATAAAAAGCTCCGAACCATAAGTCATCTACTCGCTCTATTAATAACCCAGGAAGCCTTGGCTGGCAGACAGACAGGTGCGGGACATACACACATGGCCTCCACTTTGGGGGGTGGGTTCTGTGGGAAGCTGCGCAGGGGAGGTAGACACACGGAGACAGGAAGGGCCAACAGCAGAAGTGGAGAGGGACACAGAGGGTAGGCCAGGCCCAAGGGACAGGGCAGAGCTGCAGAGACAAGTGAGGAGGGGTGAGTCTGTTCCTCCTTCTGGAAGTAAGAACTCTGTTCAGTTCACTGTACCTGGAAACGGTAACACCGTGCTTCTGGAAGCAGCTTCCAGCTCTCTAACTGGCAGGAGCAGCCTTGGTGCACTCCTTCCAGCGACCCAGGGGTGGGCTGCCAGCCTCCCTCCAGCCCTGGGCCCTCACTCCCCAGCTTGCTCGGGTCCAACAGAGAGGCTTGTCTTCAATTCTTGATCCTCTGGGGCCTTGCCAAAGGTAACGAGGACTAATGAGGGTGCATCCCCGGGCCCTTCCTCCGGGCTCAGGTAGCCCGGGGATAGAGGCAGAGGCCCCAGCACACACACCAGCACAGAGCGCTGCGCCGGCACCGTAAACACGCCACCCGGACCCAGGCTGCTCAAGGGGGAGCGTGGGGGGCCAGGGGGCAGCAGTTAAAGGGTCCGTGTGCAGAGGCAGAGCCCGGGGAGGAAGGCTTTGCAGACGGCAAGGAAGGCAGGTAGGGACAAGGCGCATCGGGGGCCCCGCAGAGAGCCTGGAGTGGCAGCGAAGCAGGGCCCACCAGAGGCTTTTGAGGACAGGTCAGTGGCACGCGGCTGGCTCAGGCTGGCGGGGGTGGGGGCTGCCAGGTCAACCAGGAGGGGGGCAGAAAAGGTGCTTTCAATGCAGCCTCGCACCTGGACACCTGGCCTGAGTATCTCAAGTGATTTGTATCACAAATCAGTTCAAGGGTTTGTTGTTGTTGTTGTTGTTGTTGTTGTTTTAAGATTTTATTTACTTATTTGAGAGAGAGAATGAGAGAGAGAGAGCATGAGAGGGGGAGGGTCAGAGGGAGAAGCAGACTCCCTGCCGAGCAGGGAGTCCGATGCGGGACTCGATACCGGGACTCCAGGATCATGACCTGAGCCGAAGGCAGTCGCTTAACCAACTGAGCCACCCAGGCACCCCTTTTTTTTTTTTTTTTAAGATTTTATTTACTTATGTTGTTGTTTTTTTTTAAATTTTATTTATTTAGGGCGCCTGGGTGGCTCAGATGGTTAAGCGTCTGCCTTCGGCTCAGGTCATGATCCCAGGGTCCTGGGATCGAGTCCCACATCGGGCTCTCTGCTCCTTGGGAGCCTGCTTCTCCCTCTGCCTCTCTCTCTCTCTCTCATGAATAAATAAATAAAATCTTTAAAAAAAAATTTTATTTATTTATGTATTTGAGAGAGTGAGTGTGGGGGGAGGGGCAGAGGGAGAGAATCTCAAGCGGACTCCCTGCTGAGCGAGGAGCCCAATGAGGGGCTCCATCCCATGACCCCAAGATCATGACCTGAGCCGAAATCAAGAGTCGGATGCTTAACCCACTGAGCCACCCAGGCGCCCCTGGGTTTTTATGACTTGAGTGCTGTGCATCCCCCCCAAGTTTGCGAGCTCCGTGGCACCTCTCCACCTGAAGAGGCCTGCGTGTCCCCCCGAAACCCCGGGCACCCCGGAGGGTGGGGACCACAGGGAGCCCCGGGTCACTGGTGAACTGACCTGTGGCTGTTTTGTCTTCTGTACAGTTTGCTGGGGAAACAGCTGGACAGCCCGGACACAGCTTGTAAGTATGAGGAAGGAGCGTGCAGGGCTGGGGCCAGAGCGTGTCTCTCTGGGAATGGCGTCAGGGCTGACGTCACCACTGTGCCCAGCGAGGGAAGGATAGGAAGGACCCACGAGGAAGCAGGTGGAGCGCCTGGACACGGCTAACCCTGTGCAGCCATCAGGCTTTCGAGTGGGGAGAGAGGGTCCAGGTACCAATTCTCCCTTCTGGCAGAGATGTTACTGTTGGCTGAGTGTTCAAAAGATCTGATAGAAAATGAGAAATGATGGTGGGAAAAGCACAAATTCAATATAGATGATTTGGCTTCCCCAAGATTTTCTTCATTTGCTACTTTTCTCTCACTTTTTTTTTTAAGATTTTATTTATTTGACAGAGAGAGACAGTGAGAGAGGGAACACAAGCAGGCGGAGTGGGAGAGGGAGAAGCAGGCTCCCCGCTGAGCAGGGAGCCCCATGCGAGGCTCGATCCCAGGACCCCAGGATCATGACCTCAGCCGAAGGCAGACGCTGAACGACTGAGCCAGCCAGGCGCCCCGGCTACTTTTCTGATTACAAAATACGTGCTTATCTGCACACCCATGTGCACGGCAGCATTATTCACAACAGCTACAATGTGGAAGTAGTCCCAAGTGTCCACTGAGGCATGAACGAACAGGCAAGACTTGGTGTGTATATACGATGCACTACTGTTTCACCTCAGGAAGGGAATTCTGAGACCTGCTCCCACATGCAGGAACCAGGAGGACGTTTGTTAAGTGAGATAAGGTGGTCACGAAGGGACAAATGCCGCATGATGCACTGACAGGCGGGAGGCACCTGCAACAGTCACATTCCCGGAGGCGGCAAGTGAACGGTGGGCGCCAGGGTTGCAGGCACGGGGAAGGGGGCTTACTGCTGAACGGTGAGGTGATGCGTACTGGAGATGGTGGTGGCTGCACGATGGGGCATGTGCTTAACGCCACCGCCCTGTGCGCTTAAACACAGCGCAGGTGCGGGGCGCCTGGGAGCTCAGTCGGCGAAGCATCCGGCTCTGGATCTCAGCTCAGGGTTTGATCTCAGGGTTGTGAGTTCAAGCCCTGCATTGGGCTCCACGCTGGGCATGAGCCTACTTAAAAAAAAAATGGCTGGGCGCCTGGGTGGCTCAGTTGTTAAGCGTCTGCCTTCGGCTCAGGTCATGACCCCAGAGTCCTGGGATCGAGCCCCGCGTCGGGCTCCCTGCTTGGCAGGAAGCCTGCTTCTCTCTCCCACTACCCCTGCTTGTGTTCCTGCTCTCACTATCTCTATGTCAAATAAATAAATAAAATCTTTAAAAAAAAAAAATGGCTAAGATGGTAAATTTTATACTTTGTCTTTTATGGCAATAATTGAAAAAAAAAATCAGGAAAAAAACCCCGTATGTGAAAACTACACACACGTGTAAAAAAAAAACGCACCTGCCCAGAATCCCACTTCCCAGAAGTAAACCATTGTTTTGACATACTTACCTCCCCACTTTTTCCTCTACCTTTTCCCAAAAAAAGTTGGGATTACACTATATACCCCAATGATCTACATTTCTGATTATTTTATCAGCAGTTCTTTACACTATTAAAACTATACGTATACAAAAATCAGTGGCTTTATAATATTTCACAGGGAATTGCGCATTATTGGCATCAGATTGCCAAGAGAAAACACTTCAGCCAAACAGAAGAGACTCCCCCTCTGATGTGCCATCCCCTCCATTCCACCCCCCTCCCTGTTCCCAGAAGGGACTACTGACAGTCTGACCTGCTCCAGTGTGTCAGGAACGGGTGGGTCCGTGCAACGGCTCGCACGAGCCTAGTGGTACCAGTGGGTTTCCAGCTCCACGGCGCTGGACTGACGCCCCGAATTCTCTTTGTCTTTTCCTCACAGTCCTAAAATGGCTGCCACAGCCCGAGCCATCATGCTGGTTTTTGGGCAGGAAGGAGGGAGAGGGGCTGTCTTCTTTTCTCTAAGATAATGGGCTTACCTTTCCGTTAGGGAAGCAAAGCCACTGCAATAATAATACACACTCTCCTTAACATTTCACTGGCCAGAACTGGGTCACATTCCCTCTGACTCCTTCTCAGAACACTCACTGGCTAAAGGAAATAAGATGGCCTTGGATGTTTAGCCAAGCACCATTCACCTGCTCAGCAAAGGTAGTTCCTCAGGCCCTCCCTAGGGGACATTTCTCCCTAACGTGAACAAACTGGAGCTCTGGAGGGACGGAGCACTGGGTGCTGAGAGCCACTGTCAGCCAGGAACAAAGTGGACGCCCCAGGGGTCCCCACACGTCCTGCTCCACAGACACACACATACACACATGTGCATGGGACACACAGTAACACATTCAGCCATTCCTCCAGGTTGTTTCTAGAAGACCGTTCTGCCGTGGGACCTGTTTACACAAGGGCCACCTGAGAGCTGGCTGCTGGTGCTGGGCTGGTGGGGGAGTACCCGGCATGAGTCAGGGCACCTCCCCATCTCCATGTTTGTGCGACAGATCCCAGTGTCTACTGGGATGAAGATTTAATTGCACTTTACATTTTGTTATGTGACAGGTAAGTTGCTACATTTGGTTCCTATAAAAACAACAGTTTGCACAGAGGATGGGGAGATGGGAGTTAAAAGCCAGTGTGAGAAGAGAAAGCAACCCGCAAGCTGGTTTGCAACCCGGAAAGGCAGAGGAGGGGTAGTCAGATAAACTTTGACATTGCAAGCTCGCTCCTGGCCATGGCCACCTGCCTGGACTGCAGCCAGAAGTGGACTGCTTCTGTTCTCTCAATGAGTGGGCTTTGCCTCTAGAATTCAGTGGTTTGGGGGGAATAGGGGGTGAGTGGTGTCCAAGGGAAATCACTACTTAACAGCTGTGAGAAGTATGTGCGAGCAGGTCTATAAAACACCTCTAGCTGCTAGGGACGCCAACAGCATTGTTGACCTGCTAACCTCTGGATTAATACATCAATTAATACGGCATTTATTTCCATAGGAAATGGTCCTTTTATGTGGACTCTTCGTTGTGATGGTTGTGACAGGACTTGACTTGTAATACCACTCTCTTCAAAAGGGCTGGATGAGGGGCACCGGCTGGCTCAGTTGGCGGAGCGTGCGACTCTTGATATTGGGGTCGTGAGTTTGAGTCCCGCATTGGGAGTAGAGTTTACTTAAATAAATAAAAACTTAAAAAAAAATAAAAGGGCTGGATGAAAGACTGGGTCAGCTTCCTCTGAGCAGGTCAAAATAAGATTATCTTCTCAAAGCACAGTCTACTTAAAGAATTTCCTTTTTGAATATGCTTTTGAGAAATAACTAGAAAGAACACATCACTTTCTCGTAGCTTGCGGCAAACGAGAGTCTTTCCTTTCTTCACATTATAAACTAATTTCAAGACTGATGATCTTTCACTGTGTTTGAAAAGAATTTTCTAGAATTCTGTCTCATTTCCAGGCACTTGTTTATTTGCTTGCAAATGTGGACATTCACATTATGCAAAAAATCTTAGGAGCAAGTAAGCTAGAATTCCGAGTTCTCAGAGGGTTTGATTCCTTTAAGACTCGGACAACAGTTTAACCCAGTGAAGAAGCATTCTTCTTCCTCCCAACACCCATCACAGTAAACAGCCCTTCACTTAACACTTGGGATGTTCCAGGCCCTGAGTGCTCGGAAGCACGGAGTGTTGCAAAATTGAAGAAGAAACATCCCTGCCTTCCAGAAGCCTTCAACCCAGGAACTGTCTACAGGTAATTAAAAGACCGCTAAGTGCACTGTCAGCTGCGAATACCACCTGCTCTGGGAGTTCTTTCTTTCTTTTTTTCCTGGGAGTTATTTCTTTTTTTTTTTAAAGATTTTATTTATTTATTTTGACAGAGAGAGACACAGCGAGAGAGGGAACACAAGCAGGGGGAGTGGGAGAGGGAGAAGCAGGCTTCCCACGGAGCAGGGAGCCCGACGCGGGGCTCGATCCCAGGACCCTGGGATCATGACCTGAGCCGAAGGCAGACGCTTAACGACTGAGCCACCCAGGCGCCCCTCCTGGGAGTTATTTCTAACTGGAGAATCTGGGCATGCCTTGAGGCAGCATCTGAATTGGGCGGAGACGCTGGTAGACCCGAGGAAGGCATTCCTTAATGGAGGGAGGAGAACTAGCAAAGGCGGGGAAACCAGTGAGGAAACCTTTGTGAGGCTCCATGTTGGGGGAGGGGGCAGGATGGGGCAGCAGGGGACGGGGAAACCAGTACGGAGGAGGAGGAAATGCATTTAGCACCTCCTACAGCCAGGAGCGCTGCGCATATGATTCCAGTCTAACTCTGCAACAACCTTGAACATCAATATGCCTATTTTACAGATAAAGAAACTGACCACAGAGATTAAGAAACTCATCTAAGATCACTAAATTAATAAATGGTGAAACAAATATTCAAATCCAGGCCTGTCTCTTTTTTTTTTTTTTGCTATGCCATATGCTACCTTAAAACCCAGCTAAGGTTCTGGACTTGATTCCACATGCAGGAGGACGGCGGGGGGCGGGGCAAGGTAGCAGCATCACCAGGTACGTCTGCTCAGACAGGCCCACCGTGTGTCCTGCACTGGGCTGGCTCTGATTCCCTCCAGGAACAAGAGGCAAGCCACACACCATGCCTGCCCTCAGAGAATGTCCGATTTTGTGGGAAAGCAGAGCTGGTAACAGCCACTTTCATTATAATGTGGGAACAATGGTAACTATGGAAATACCCTTCCAAAGAAAGCTTCCCAGAGAGGTCACCTGAGCAGCTTTGGAAGACGAGTGAAGTTGGAGGAGGTAGGAAAGGACGTTTTGGGCAGAGGAAAAGGAACAGTCTGGAAACGAGGTTTGAGCTAGCACGGTGCACATGCCTGCAGGTGGTGTGAAGGCTAGAAAAAGAGGCCGCAGGGTCAGGAACGCCTTGCGAGGAGCTGGTCGGTCCCAAGGCTCCCGGAGCCCCTGAGAAGTTTGCAGCAGGGGAGCGATGTGCGCCCATCTGCAGGTTAGAAGGGGGACTGGCAGCGGGTGGAGCGGCTGGTTGGCTAACGCGTAGGTGACAGAGAGCCACAGCCTACTCAAGGACGGCAGGAGCGGGAATGGAGAAAAGTTGGTTTTGAAAAATATCTGCATCAACTCATTAGGAGCTGGTGGCTACACATGGGGGATGAGGGAGAGAGAGGAGTCCAAGATGAATTCCCAAATTCGGGCCTGAGCAAGGGGTGTGCTGGCGAGAGGAAAGTGCCGGAGGGCAGGGCTGGTGCAGACGGAGACACGGGGCAGCAGGCGGGGTGTCCCAGGGGCCACGGGCCACGGAGTCTGAACAGTGGGGCGACAGCGCTCTGGGGTGAATCCAGGATAGACGTGGAGCTGAGTACAGTCAGCACGCAGGGGTCGGTGCGCGGGGGGCCGTCGGGAGCCACACGTGGGGATCTGGTGACCCAGGGGAGCATGCGGAACCAGGAGAGCGGCAGGAGAAAGAGAAATCATGAGCGAGAAGATGGAGACCAAGCAGAGGGTGAGGACGGCCACCGTGGGGGGTCCGGGGACACAGCAACCGCTGGTGCCAGGGGCAAGAGCAGGTGAGGGGGCGAGGTCAGCAAGCTTTCCTCCGTCTGGCCGGCAACGGGGCGGCCGGTAGACTGCCGGGAGCCACGGACCAAGTCAAGGTTGGAAAGACAGATGGGCTCGGGACACCTAGCTGGGAGCAGAAGGAGAGAGGCAATGGCTAGAGAGAGCCTCGTTTTTATTTATTATTTATTTATTTCAAAATATTTATTTATTTGACAGAGACACAGCGAAAGAGGGAACACAAGCAGGGGGAGTGGGAGAGGGAAAAGCAGGCTTCCCGCTGAGCACGGAGCCTGATGATGATGCAGGGCTCAATCCCAGGACCCTGGGACCATGACCTGAGCGAAGGCAGACACCCAACGACTGAGCCACTCAGGCGCCCTGAGAAAGCCTCATTTTTAAAGACCAGGAGAGATGCAATCCAATGAGAACAGTCCGGAGTGAAGACAGCGGTGGCAGAGGAGCCTGGGGGAGCAGGGGCGGGGAGCAGAGCACAGGTGGAGCAGGGGGCTCGGCCAGCAGCGCTGCAGGGTCGAAGGGTGGAGGGGGCCGGCCTGCAGGGGAGGCGGCTACAAGAGGACAGCTGGCACCTGGACAAACCAATCTGGATCCCTCCAATTTTCCTCAAGTAGGAGGCTATGGCGGGGGGATGGACACAAGCACATTTCTTAAGGACTTTGAGGAAAGTAATTTAGAGAATTTGCTGAACACAGTGATGGAGGGAGGTGGAGTTAGGACAAGCAAGAAGACTTGTCAAGTGACAATAAACGCACAGCTGAGGCCGGACACCGTAAGTTACGGCAAAAGTCTACCTACGCGAGTGGTGTTCCCTCCAGCGGGCCCCAGGATTCCAGAAGTATAGAGACAAGAGTGGGTTGATCCAAGGGTTGAAGTTTTATCAGACAGGACGGGATGCTGAAGATGCTGGTGATTAGCCACGGATTTCCAGTCTGGGAAAGAAAGGAGGGATCAGAAAATGGAAGGTCTGAGGCTGAAGTAAACGGTCAATGGGAGAGAAGGGGGAGTCGTAAAGGACAGGGCATCGGGGGTTTGAGATTCCAGACGTGGTGCTGCTCTTCGGCACGACAAGGATCGGGATATGGCAGCTGAAGGCGGGGGAATGAGGTAATGGAATTGCAGAGGCCAAAATACAGACCCAAGTGCCGGTGACTCAAGTCAGCTAAGGGCTGGCATGGCTTGGGTTCGAGAGGAAGAGTGTAGATTAAGCGCCAGGTCATCAATGAACACAGGAGCAGGTGAGGAGATCGTAGAGAGCAGTGTCTGGAACGGCATTAGCCTCATACCATGTCAGGGCGAGCACTGCCTTTGGAAGGATTTGGTCAAGACATCAACTAGGAAAAGACGCAGCCGATCCATGACTGCGTTCTTGCCACGAGGACAATGCCATTTGAACAGAACAGTGCAAGGACACTCCCAACCCATTCCTCGGGTAGTATTAGGATGGCACGGTGTAGAGAGGATAGTCCTTCTGGCCTACCCCCATCCTTTAAATCCCAAGTTCAAAACTGTTCGTGACCAAAGGGAGGAAAGAACCATGCACCAAAGTGTGCCAAGGAAGTCAGGTGGTTAACTCTACACGAGAATGTGGTTCACTGGCACACGGAGGAGAGACCAACAGCCTCCCTCTTCCCTGACCCCACCTCAGGTTGCTGTTTCTGTGGCAGCTGCTGAACCCCACCATCACAACGCCCCGCTAAGTCCCCTTGGGTTTACCACCCCTCCCCCCGACCAGGCAAAGCACCCATGTCACAAGAAAAGTGAGCAGTAAGATACCAGCAGCTGGATCGCAGTATAGACCCTTCCAAAGGGAGCTCCAATGTGGAGAAACAGTTCTGATTGACTTGGAAAACACAAAAGCAAGCTGTTTATTCTACTTTTAATAGACAGTAATCCATCTAGCTCACAGAGATTAAATACTTACCACAGATATGGCAAATCTCTTAAAAAAAAAAAAAAAAGTCTGGCTAGTGTGTGATTTTTCATCTAGTTTAAGAAACCAAGGGAGCGCTGGGTCCTGTCTATAAGCCTCAGCCGTAAAGCCAGCCGTGCCTGAATGCAAAGCACAAGCCCGCGAAGTCCGACGAGTGGCAGGAGCTGGCTCAATCTAGGAAGGACAAGGGGAGGAATAAAATATAACTGGTCCTGAAGAGCACAAGCACCCTACACACCCCAGCTGGGCATGTTACTCACCATGACCATGCACTCCCATAACGCCTGAAGACTGGCATTATTAGGCCTGTTCATAGCTCCGGAAATTGAGGGTTTATAGGTTACGAGCCTTTGCTGATGTTACAAGGATAATAAACGGCACCATGGGGACCCAGACCCAAGCTTTGGTGACTCGTCTGCCCTTCCCACTCATGGGTTTTGCATTTGGTCTATCTTGCAAGGCCTGGAATTCCAAACGATTTCCGCTCTTAATCCCCACGTTCAAGTGTGAATTCTGAATGGGGAATGGCTTATAAAAAACAACAAGACAAAAGAGGACATGCTGTTAGGAACTAAGTATGAGTGAGAAAACCGTAGCCAACCCCAACAGCACTTCCAGTGGATGAATCTGTTAATTTGAATTTCCAAGGCTAAAAATGAGCCTTATGGGCTTGCCCCAATATTGACAAATTTGTCACTGATTTTTTTTATCTACTCCTTCGTCACATAGAAACTTACATAAAAGACAAAAAGGCTGGTATGCAGCCAAGTGCTGGGCCAGGCACTTTCTGGTTCCTTCGGCCTATGAGTCCCAGCCGAGCTGTCCCTTACTCAGGAAGGCCTTTACCTGACAGTGTTACCACCTCTCCTCTTCTTCCTAACACTTCACAAAACCAGAATCATGGCACATATCTGTAAGCCACCCGTTCATGACCTATCCTCTCCAGATCGCAGGCTCCATGAACACAACTGTGTCATCCTGCTCACGGCTGTGTCCTCGGGGCACTCGGCAAGGGGAATGACCAGCCAGACTCACCGAACTCCCCAGGTCACTCCTTTTTACAGAGAAAACGCATCAGGGAGGCTGGTATCCCCCCCCACTCTCAGCAAGGCCCACCTAACTCCCCAGTCCCTGTAGGCTGTTCCGTTCCACCACACTAACCTGCCTCACGCACCCAAATGCAGTGCCTATGCTGTGAAAGTTACCAAGGACTGAGAGAGAAATGCCTCCTCATTCTGTTCAGGTGCATACACTGCACGTGCCTGGCTGGGCAGGTGGGAGGAGTAACTGCAACGCAAAGAAGTCGATTCAGCCTCTCTTTGAAGGGCCATTCGACCAGCAAAGTAGAGGACAGCTAGGCTAATTTATTACTGGACTACAACTCTCCTTAGAGTTATGGGTAGTAACCAGATCCATTCACTGAAATAACCCACTTGACCTCAGGAAGAGAATTTGCCGAAGATCTTATAAAAGGACATAAAATGTTACATAAATGTTAGCTTAAGAGACATGTCCTGGGCGCCTGGGTGGCTCAGTTGGTTGAGCGACTGCCTTCGGCTCAGGTCATGATCCTGGAGTCCCAGGATCGAGTCCCACATCGGGCTCCCTGCTCAGCAGGGAGTCTGCTTCTCCCTCTGACCCTCCCCCCTCTCATGTGCTCTCTCTCTCTCAAATAAATAAATAAAATCTTAAAAAAAAAAAAAAAAGAGACACGTCCTTACGGTATCTTACCACAAGGAAACTCCAAATCTAACATACGCATCATGGAGAGAGGAGTATCCTTTTAATAGCCCAGATTTCACAGATCCCACAACCGAGAAGAACTACAGTTTAGATGATTAAGACAACAGGTAAACACCTATAGTATTTCATTTGACCTATATTAATACAAACTAGGCATAACTAATTTAGATGAACAAGCAGGAAATTTCAACCTCATTTTCCCAAAGATTTTATTGGAAACTCAGCATGGACCTAAATTGGAACAGCATTCAAGCTTCCCCCCCCACCCCAAAATGCAGATCCTAGCTCTACCAGACCCGGCAACGTGACCTTGTGACTTTGAGTGGCTCCCTCAGCTGCTTTCCCTGGGGGGCAAAATGCAAAAAATTGCCCACAGCTCTAACATTCTTCATCCTGCCACTCAAGCAGAAAGTACTAACTGCCTACTGGAGATAACCTTGCAGGGAATAAACAGAACTAACCAAAAGCAATTTCATTTCACAAAGAAGCTACATTCATTTGTGGTAAGGGAAATTATTCAGCGTCATGAGTTCATTACCTGAATCATTCCCAATCTGTCAGAGATACACATAAGGTACAATGGGATCTAACAGCTAGCCTCCTTATAATCCATAAATAAGACATCGTCTGAAAAGGGGAGAAATACCAGCATCTTCTAACTCACATCCTTTATTCTTCTGCTCACTCCCGAACTTCGCCCTCTCCACGTGTGTCCCTAAACCACGCACTCTTTAAAACTGAGTTTGAGCATTTAATGGAGGTTTCGGGAAAGAAACCACTAGGAAAATGAGGGAGGCAGGAGACTTCAAGAGTTGTGGCCAACAGTCCACATCTTTGTCCTGCTACCGTCCTGATCAGGTGGCCAAGGGGCACATTCCATGTAGGATATCTGTCACCACATCTCAGCCATTAGTGAGCTCGGACTTCTCTCCTGCTCTGAGAAAACTTTGCATTGACTTTTAGGATTCTTCCGATATTCTAGTTTTTTCCGCAGTTGTTGACATTCATCTCTGTGGTAGCCTGGAAGCCTTGTGCAAAGTCAGAGCCTTTGAGACACTTGAAATGGTCAAACACTATCACACACAACTCCTGTCATGGTACTTTCAACTTCACTTTTTGATGAATCAAAAAAAGCAATCATTCCATGTGCAAGGCACTCAGCTGTAGATGGACACAGCCATGATCTTTGCCCTCATAGTTAGAGGGGTAAAAGCACCCAAACGCTGGTGTAAGAAATACCAGCTTAAATAAATGTTAATTGTTTGTCCTATTAAAAACGGACTCCAGACATTCAGAGGGAACGCTCATTGGCTGAATGGGCTCATTCTGCCCAAACCGAAGAGTAAAAGCAGTAAAATTATCCCTACTTTTAGAGTCCCAAGGCTCTGAAGTGGCAATTTAACCTGTCTTTTTAAATTGATTTTCACCTTTAGTAGCAAGTGCAAGCAGGCTAGAGCCAATGCAGCGCATCATCTTTGCACATCTAGTCACACCATCCTTCATAGCTAAAAGAGCTGAAGGTAAGAATACCTCCCACCACAGAAAACTCAAGGCCTATGTTAACAGGTCACCTGCTCTGGGGCAAGTTTTGTTGTTTTAGGGAGAGGGAGAGTGTGAGTAGGGGTGGCAAAGGAGGGGGAGACGGAGAGAAAGAATCTCAAGCAAGCAAGCCCAGCGAAGAACCCGACTTGGAGCTCAATCTCACGACCCTGAGCCCAAAATCAAGAGTGGGACGCTTAACTGACTGAGCCACCCAGGCGCCCCTGCTCTGGGTCAAGTTTTAAAAAGCTATTCCTGGAGGGGTGCCTGTCGATTAAATGCCTGACTCTTGGTTTCCGCTCAGTGGTGATCTCAGGGTTGGGGGGATGGGGCGCGGAGGAGCCTGCTTGAGATTCTCTCTCCCTCAGCCCCTCCCCGCCCCACACTTGCTCCCTCTCTCTAAAATAAATCCTTAAAAGCTATTCTTGGAGCAGGTGCTGGGACAGCACTTAGGAACATCTTAATGCTGTGTCACACCTGCCACCCTTCCCAAGTTTTAAACCCTTCCCAGCTTTCTCCACTTGATGGTGAACATCTACAGATCTACCACCTAGAAGCTAGGCTACCTAAGCAGGTACACCCCCACCATTTCTCTTGTATCTGTGGGTAAGTATCAACTACTTAGACATTTTCCCGTCAATTACTGGAGAGTGGGGAAAGTGAAATTAAGCCACATAAAAAAATTCTCCCACAACTGGTTTTCACTTGTGAAATATTTATGCACAATTTATAAGCTATGAAGCCAGAAATGACTTATTTCAACAGATTTGACTTTGCCAAACCGTGTGGGTGCAGCACTCCAAGGGGAATTACTCAGGTTTTGAAACTCAAATTCAAAGAGAAAATGACCTAATTTTTCACTCCTTACACTAAAATTCTCGAAAGTCAAGTTAAACGGCATTTAGAAATAAGAACTAAACTGATCAAGTCACTTTTTAATCAGAATGCACCATCTCTTCTCCAACATGTTATGAAAGACACCCGCTTGTTGAGCAAGCTCGACCTAAGATGAATGGATCACAGTCCAGAACAATCACGGGCTTCAACTGCAGGAACACTCTTCCGAGAGCTCAAGGAATTCCACACAGCGTTAAACTGGCCAAACGAGCACAACAGAGATAACGCCTTCCCAGAGTTTCAGTTTTCCAAGATTTTCTCAAAAACCAGGGAGTCTTTATTTTTATTGCTTTAAACCAACTGTCAGGAGGACCAAAGAGCTGAGTAAGGTCAAAGCACCTCGCTGCAACATAGCTAACTATTCAGATTCGGAAAGGCTTAACCTGCCGTCAATTCGTGCCCGGAAAAACCCAGGCTCCGTGGCAGGGCAGGTGTAATGGAGAACACAGCGGGTACCCCGTGGAGCTCCCAAGGATGAGACCAATGCAAAGCCTGGGGGGCACAAGGAGGAGTGTCTACCAAAGTGAGAAATAGGTGAGGACGGTGGTCAAGGGAAACACTGATTGGCTGGAGAGCGAAGAAAGAGACGCTCCGAAGGAAATTCTAGAGAGCCGTCAGGAGCCGCGCCACACGACGCGCGGCAGGCGCCCTGGGGTTCCAAGCTCTACAGGGAAGCGGGCACCCAACGGCCCCGTCTCGGGTTTCCGCGGGTCACAAAAGGGTAACGGACATCCTCCCAACGGTGGACCCGGGGGCTCCGCGCGGCGCTTCCGCTCGGCCGCCCCGCCCCGGCCGCCCGGCGCGGCCCACCTGAGCTCGGCCCCCGGGCCCGCGGCGGCGCGGGGACGGGCGCTCGCGGCGCGACGCGGGCCCGCGGCGGCCCGCGGACGTGCTCCCCTGCGGCCCGCCCGCCTTTGTTCGCCTGGCCTTCCACACTCACCGCCGCCATCGCCCGCCCGGAGCCGGGCGCCACGAGCAAACGCCGCCCGACGCGAAAAAGGAGGCACAGGCGTTTCTCGTCAAAGCAGACTTTATTGGGCGCCGGGGCCGCCCGCGCGGGCCGCCCGCTCCCCCGCGCGGCCCCCGGCCCGCTCGCCGCCGAAACCCCGCACGCGGCCGGCCCCGCCCTGCCCCGCAGGGCCCCTCCCCCGCGGCGCCGGGGGCCGCGCACCGCTCACCGGCTCCCGAGGCGGCGGCTGCAGCGGCGACGCCCCGCTCCCGAGTGTGGCCCGGGCCCGGGGCGGCGGATGTCGCTGCTGTGGCACCGCGGAGGGCGGGAGCCACGCGACTCGCGGCGGCGGCGGCGGCGGCGGCGGCGGCGGCGCGCTGACGTCACGCGCCGCGGCCAGCCAGCGCGCGCGGGGGCCGCCCCGGCGACCCCAATCCGGGAGGAGCCTGGGTGAGTGGGCGGGGCCGCGGTGGCGAACGGGCAGATCGATTGGCAGAGGAGGAGGAGCGAGAGGGCCCGCGGGCGAGTGGGAGCGAGGCGGGGCGGGCCGAGGCCAGCGCGGAAGTCTCGCGAGGCCGAGCCTGAGCGGAGTGTGGCGGCGGCGGCGGCGGCGAGATCTGGGCTCGGGGTGAGGAGTTGGTATTTGTGTGGAAGGAGGCGGAGGCGCAGGAGGAAGGGGGAAGCGGAGCGCCGGCCCGGAGGGCGGGAGGAGGCGCGGCCAGAGCGGGTGGCCGAGGCGCGGCGAGGCGGGGCGCCGGGGCGAGCAGCGGCCGAGCGAGCGCGGGGCGCACCGAGGCGAGGAGGCGGGGAAGCCCGCCGCCGCCGCCGCCGCGCCCGCCCCTTCCCCCCGCCGCCCGCCCCCTCTCCCCCCTCCCGCCCGCCGCCTTCCTCCCTCTGCCTTCCTTCCCCACGGCCGGCCGCCTCCTCGCCCGCCCGCCCGCAGCCCCGGAGCCGAGGCCGCCGCGGCCGTGGCGGCGGAACCCTCAGCCATGGCCTCGGGCGACACCCTCTACATCGCCACGGACGGCTCGGAGATGCCGGCCGAGATCGTGGAGCTGCACGAGATCGAGGTGGAGACCATCCCAGTGGAGACCATCGAGACCACGGTGGTGGGCGAGGAGGAGGAGGACGACGACGACGACGAGGACGGCGGCGGCGGCGACCACGGCGGCGGGGGCGGCCACGGGCACGCGGGCCACCACCACCACCACCACCACCACCACCCGCCCATGATCGCGCTGCAGCCGCTCGTCACCGACGACCCGACCCAGGTGCACCACCACCAGGAGGTGATCCTGGTGCAGACGCGCGAGGAGGTGGTGGGCGGCGACGACTCGGACGGGCTGCGCGCCGAGGACGGCTTCGAGGACCAGATCCTCATCCCGGTGCCCGCGCCGGCCGGCGGCGACGACGACTACATCGAGCAGACGCTGGTCACCGTGGCGGCGGCCGGCAAGAGCGGCGGCGGCGGCTCGTCGTCGTCGGGCGGCGGCCGCGTCAAGAAGGGCGGCGGCAAGAAGAGCGGCAAGAAGGGCTACCTCGGCGGCGGGGCCGGGGCGGCGGGCGGCGCGGACGCGGGCAACAAGAAGTGGGAGCAGAAGCAGGTGCAGATCAAGACCCTGGAGGGCGAGTTCTCGGTCACCATGTGGTCCTCAGGTGAGCGCCGGCGCGCGCCGGCCCCCGGGATGTTTTTGTTTTGAAGGGAGGCCATGTTTTATGTGTGTGATGGGCGCCGCCATCTTCTTCGCAGGGCAAGTATGGCGGCCCCAAAAGATGGCGGGCCGCGGCGGGGGCGGCGGGCGGCGGGCCGGCGGGCCGAAGATGGCGGCGGGAGGCGCGGCGCCGCCCGCTAGGCCGCAATGGCGTAGTTTCCCCGGGCGGGGCGGCCGCGCGGCGCGGGGCGGGGCGGCGCGGCGGGGCGGGGCGCGCTCGGGCCAACGGACGGCCGCCGGCCCGTTGTCCGCCGCCCCCGCCCGGCCGGCTCCGCGCGGGGCCCGGGGGCGCGCGGGGCGGGCGGGCGGGCGGGCAGCTCGCCGCCGCCCCCTCCTGCTCGCGGGGCGGGGCGGGGCGGGGGGGCGCACGTGCCCCCGCCCCGCCCCCTTCCCCAGGCCCTTCCCCAGGCCCTCGGCTGCTCGCGAGAGGCGCCTTGCGCTCCCACGCCCGGCGCGCAGGCCGGACCCTGCCCGCGGCCGCGCTCCCCGCGCTCCCCGCGCTCGCCTCGGTGGGGCGGGACTTGGGCGGCACGCAGGGCTCGCGTGTGCGGGCTCCGCGCCGCCCGCGAGCTCCTCGCCTCGGTGCCCCCACCCCCCCGCGGCACGTCGGGGCGGGGGTCCGCGAGGTTTTGCGGGCGGTTCTTAACCCTTCGCGTTTTCTTAAGCGTTGGTGTGTCTGCAGATAGGTCGCTTAGCTGGGGACGTTTGTCGCTAAATTAGCAAGACGGAGCATGTTAAGTCTTTGCTCGCGTTTTAGTGGATCGTGGGCGACCAACTTTTCCTGTGAAGAGACAGATTCTAGAGAGCCAGAGAAAATAGGGCAAAAGGGACTTAGCTGCGTGTTTCAGTTTTCTCTTCTTTATTTTATAACTGTGGAAAGCGGTTTCTTTCACGTCAGTGTCCTGTTACCTTATTCACATGCTATCTAGTTTAATTGCCAGCACAATGAACAGACTTGAGAGTGGCTTGCCGTGGCTAGTTAACCTAGTACTTGGGATGATTACACTTAGTTCTAAGTTTAAGTTGCAGAATCCCCCCCCCCCCCCGACCCCCGTTACCGTAAGGCTGTTTCATCAGTTGTCAGGATGGAGCCTCAGAGTGCGATGGCCCTTGAGTATTGAAGGACTGTAACGACTGAGATGAACAGATGAAGTAGAACGTGAAAAGGCTGGTCTGGTTCTACGGTGAAAGCCTCTGGCGAGGTAACTAACGTTGTTGGATGGATCTAGGGCTCAGCTGAGCAAAGGGATCCGAGTTGCTGCCCCAATTTAATAGCAAGTGTTAAGGGGCGCTGCTGTTCTGGATTTCATGGTGCCTTGCGGAGGTCTGAGGAGTTTGAGTTTAAGTTAAATGAAACCTGTCTACCTACTTACTTAACGGTTATCAGAATACCTTCTGTAGATTTGGTAGCATGCACACTGATGGTGTTGGAACCAAAAGTCATGTCTTTTCATTAACATGCAGAATTCAGAGAGGGGTGAATTGGTTATTGTTGAGTTTTGCTGAATTCATGATCCCATCTGAAATTAGATATTGATAGAAAGATACGTTAACTGTAAAACTAAATTTACTTTTTCTCATGGTGAGGACATGTTGGTTTTATAGAAATTTAGAAAACCAGGGTGTTTTATATATTCTGTATTTGATCTTACCAAATTGCTCGCTTACTTCTTCAAGAAAATTTGGTAATGGAGACTTTACTTGATGAAGTGATGTGTATCATGTCAGCCAGTCAGGGGCGGAGGTCTGAGGGGCCTGACTAATGGGAGTTAATTTACAATTAAGTCAGCATTTAAAAGTCATTACCTCCCCTGTGCAAGTGGCTGCTTACAGAGTTGCACAGTTTGGGGTTATTTTAATGCCCATTTCTTTGCTGAGTTAGTTGCCTGGTGTATTACAGAGTACTCTGTGCCTAAAGGTAGTTATAAATATTTGATGGCAATAACATAGTAAGGCCTGTTTCCTCAGACATGTTTTGTGGTGAACTCTCCTATCCCTCTTCCTTGCCCTTGTGGTTTGGAACTATTAGCAAAGAGAAGCTAAATAGTTTGTGATTAACTGTGCACACCCCAAGTTCGAATTCTGAATATAGTGGAATCTTAGGAACTGAAATAAGGAGATAATTGATATAGGTGAAGAAATCAAAGCAGGTTAATTGTTAAGCTGAATTTCTCAGTGTGTGTGTGTGGACTGCAGTAGGCAATAGATCAGTGCTTTCACAGACTCAGTCTCGTCTGATCCCAGGAAGAAGAGTTTGAACACCACGGTGGTTTCACCAGAACAGTCCTTTGGATGGGAATGAGCTGCGAGGTGACCTTTTTGCCTAAGTCTAAGCTTAGTTACCTGAAGTTCTTATTAAAAAAATTGTGCACAGGGTATTCTCAGGGCTCTAGTTACTTCTTAGTACCTCTGGCTAAAAAAAACTTAGTGGGAGCTAGCATGTTTGTGGAAACCAAATCTTTGGATTTTATGGGTTTCTTTTGCTTGTGTGCCGTCTTGTTCTAATTGCCCCCAGAGTCACAGCAGTCTGTGTGATTGGCATCTCTTTGATGGAATAACGGCAAAGGAAATCTAGTGGTTCTGTACTAGAGTAGCTTTAGACCTGGAATGGTCCTTGGAGATCTGCTTTTTTCTTTCCCCTTTTTTAACTGATGTAATTCACATGGGCGCAGTTCAGTGGCTTCTGCTGTATTCACCAGGTTGTGTGGCCATCACCGCTAGCTAATTCCGCAACATTTTCATCATCTCAAAAAGAAACCCCATACCCGTGAGCAGACACTACCCATTTCCCCTCTCCCTCCAGCCCCTGGCCACCACTGATCTACTTTGTGTTTCTCTGGATTTGCCCATTCCAGCCATTTCATTTAAATGGAATCGTTAACAGTCTGTGGTCTTGTGTGTCTGGCTTAGCCTGTGTTCAAGGTTCATCCACATTGTTGAGTGTACTTTATTCCTTTTTAAGGCTGAGTAAGATTCCGTAGCGTGGGTACTAGAGCAAGACCTGCTTGTTTTTGCACATGAGAAGATAGAAGATGAAGGCTCAGTGAGGCTGAGCGTGTTGCGGTATTTCATCACACTTCAGTTGTGTCTTTAACATGCGTAATCCACTGTTTTAAGGCCCCCGTTTATTTTCGGTTTTTTTCCTGGCATGTGATTAATGAACATTTCCATGTTGCCAGATGTAGGGCATAGTCTCATACGTATATTTTTCCCTAGATTGTCCTCAGTATTGTATAGGAGTGACATCCTATTTTATAGAGCTTACTATAAACCCCTTAGTCATGGCGAAGTAGGAAGGCTCATGATAAAAGCTGAGTATTTAAAACATTTAGGGCTTTTTAAAAACTTTATTTATTTATTCATTTGAGGGGGGAAGAGTTCCCCCACCTGTGGCCGGGCGGGGGCGGGGGGAAGTAGAGGGAGAGGGAGAGACTCTCAAGCAGACTCCCCTCTGAGCAAGGAGGGCTTGATCTGTGGCTTGATCTCACAACCCTGAGATCATGACCTGAGCTGAAATCAAGAGTCAAATGGATGCTTAACTGACCCAGGTGCCCCTAAAACATTTAGTTTTGAGAGAAACCTAAGAAGGCTTTAAAATCTTGAGGTTTCAGGTATTTAGAAATTGTGACCTTCACTCAAGGCTGTTGGTATTTTACTTATCTTTTGTTAGACCAAATGTAGAAGTGCTTTATGATGGATTGAGCAAAACATCTAAGACCAGAAAACCATTGATACTAAGATCAGTAAAGTGAAAGAATGTTGAAAAGTATTTGTTTCTCAGTTCTTTATATACAGAAAGTTCATGTGTGCTAAAAGTTACTAGTCCTGACCATTTGCCACTCCTCTGTGGGTTTTCCACCTCCTCCTCCTTTACCTGTTTGTCCTTAACTAGAGATGCCATGCACAGAAATTCCCACGGAGCCAAGCCACAGACGCACCCCCTTCCCCAAAGTGATCTTGTCAAGCCTGTGACCTACATGGGGCACTCTAAGTCATAGATTCTGATTCCTGACCCAGTAGTTCTGGAAGTCGGCTTGCTGATACAGCCTCTGTGCTGTCAGACTCTCTGCTCCAGGTTGTTCACCTCTCCTCTTCCTCCCACCGGCAACAGCTGACTCCCCCTAGTGGGAAAGGAAAAATCCCTATTAGGAATAGGTCAGGACTCGTGACCTTACTACAGCTAGCATTTTAGGCTTTGAAAGAGAAGAAATAAAATAATAACTTTAAAAATGTATGCTAGACTCCTGGGTGTTTATTTACCAAAGGCTTCCTGGTTTTT